ATTTTTTAAATCACTGTTCTCACTGGTTTTGAATATCTGTGGAAGTTTTTATATCAAGATCTTCACTGATATCACCCTTCCTCTTTTAACTGACGCAGTGCATTCCATTGTGTGATCTTAATATCACTTACTCTTTTTTTGGTAATATATTTTCCTCCAATTTTTATTTTGAAAAATTCTAAACCGTCAGAGAAGTTGTAAAAATAGTATAGTAGGTGCCACTTAGCCTTCACCAAGTGTTGACATTTTGCCATATTTGCTTTCTATCTCTCTCTGAACCATTGGGGAATTAGTTACAGACCTCATGACAACTTCACCTTCGAAGACATGTACCTGCTAAGAGCCAGGATGCTCTCCTCTGTAACACTGTGAAGTGTAATAATCATACTCCGGAGATTTAGCCTTGTCACTACCTTTCATCTAGATGCCATGTTCAGATCCCCCAAAGAACAACTCAGACTGCAGGCGCGAGTCTCTAAAGAGCTGGTCCACGGGGCGGAGCTTGCTTGGCCCCCCTCCAGGAGAGCTAGGCAATGAGCTGACCACAGTCCTGAGACACTGCCTGGATCACTGAGGTGCTGATTCAACGCCTCTGCTTGTTTGAGCCCAGGACTCTTTATCCTCATGGGAGGGACTCACCATGCAGCCTATTTAATTTAAGCAGATGAGATTTTCAAAATTTCATTGTTTAAAAAAAGCCAGAAACAAAAACAATGCTGCTCGAATCTCAGAGGAGCAGCTGGGGATGTAGCTGAGTGGTAGAGAATTGGTCTAGTCTGAGTGAGGTCTGTGGTTAAATTTCTAACACGAAAAGAAAGAAAAATATTTCCAGGAATGGGGCTTTTCTTCTAGAATGTCCTAATGAAATCAACCTGAGGGATCTGTCAGTCAGATCACTTCAAAGGGACATGACATGCTGATACACAAGACCGCAAGGCAGGTCCCCAGCAACAATAACCAAACTATAGCCTCATCCCATCACACACTGTGCAGAGCAGTGCCTCATTTCTAGTACCTCGATCTCAGACATGACCCCTCTGAAACAGGCCTGTGTCCTGAGCCCCTGTCCTCATGACTGGATAAGATGAACTCACAGTGTGTTAAATGTCAACTCATACCAATTCATCCACAAGTTCCACTTAAAAAAAAAGTTCCTATTACACAGCTACAACCCAATATCCACAAAGGTCAGTGTTTCTCAAAGCGTAGCCCATGGACCATGCACATCAGCATTGTACACAGAACCAGGTGGAAATGCTGGCTTCCAGGCTCCATTGCAGGCCTACTGACTCAGAATTTCTAGGGGCTGGATGCCAGAACTTGCATTTTTAAAGGCACCCCGGCTTACTCTGAAGCATATTTATATCTGAGGAGTGCTGTGCCAGGCTTTCACCTGAGATAAAAGGAAGATTGGAAGTCTGTGGATTAACACTCAAGTATTGAAAACTGATTTGCATTGTTGTCCATGGCAGTGGCTTATAAACATTTTAACCAGCATCCTTACAAAGGAATATATTATACATTATAACACAGCACCTGAACACAAAAGCATATGCACTGAAATTAAAGTTTCATGAAATGTTATTTACACTTACTACCCATGATTCATCCTGATTTTTTTTTTTGGTACCGGGGATAGAACTCGGGACCTTGCACTTTTGAGGCAGGTGGAGGAACCACTGAGCTAAATCCCTGGCCCCATCCTGATATTTTTTATCCTATTCTATTTCACTTTTTAAAATCATTGGACATAGTTCACTAAATTAATTTTGCAATCCTCTCATGAACCACAAACTGGAGTTTGCAAAACACTGATCCATAACAATCAGTTGCAATAGAAAGTTAACAAAGTCAGAATAAGCCTAGGGAGAGAGTGTGTAAAATGCTGCAAACTTGTTATTAAATATGATTTTATTTTTAGATACTCTTTTTTTTTTTTGGTACCAGGGATCAAACTCAGGGCCTTGCAAGGCAGTTGGCGGCACTACTGAGCTAAATCCCCAGCCCCTAGATACTCTTAACATGCATACATTTAGCTGGATTTAGAACAGTTTAATCACAATACCATTCTCCAAATGAAATAAATTTCATTGAGTCTGATTACAAATCTTATTATCTTCAAGTAACAATTATGGATTTTAGTAGGGGACACATAGGAGTGAAAAGCCTGATGCTATGTGAAACCGTGAATCCTGGACTTTAACCAGCGAGGCTTCTAGGGTGATCCTGAGTAACAACCTCGAAATGGGGCTAACGAGAGCATTTCTCTCAAAAGGCTGCTGTAAATATTAAATAATTCATGCAAATAATACTGATAATAGCTATTACTAATCAAAAATAAAATGCCCTTGTATTAAAGTTTTGCTACCTTAAAAGCATGACAAAAATATTCAAATAAATCCTCATATAAGTTTACATATTACTATTTGCCCAGGTTTATTAATTAACTGGCATTACCTTTCCCTCGATAAACAAACTTTGAACACTTTTTGTTTAAGGTGCCATGCTAAGAGCTGGAGATAGCAAGAGACAGGAGACATAGTACCACCTACTGAGGAGCTTATAATTTAATTGCAAAGTTAGGACAGTAAAAATAAATGTAAGTCACTAAAGCAGGTCCATGTACCAAATGCGAGGTGCAGAAAGTGAGGAGAGTTGGAGTTCACAGAGGGAAGGATGTGGAATCAGGGACAGCTTCTTAGAGGAGACATCAATTGGGATGGAAGGGTGGGGAGGTTTGAGCGAATAAATGTAAAGGAGAGTAGAAGGAATCCCAGTGGGTCTGCTCATTTGGTTGGTCAGCACTACAAGTAAAGATAAGGTTCAAAATAACAACCAGTTTAGGTAACACAAAGCAATGGGTGATGTGGGAAGACATATCTCTGAAAGGCAGAGTGTTGTGTGGCCATGTGGTGTCAACTCGGGGCTGCATTCCCATGAGAGGTGGCCGGACCAACGCAACACCATGGGAGGGGGAAGGATGTGTCCCAAAGCATCAGTGACAGCAACGCAATAGACATCACCAGTTAACCGAATGAGGCCATCAACACAGAAAAATGGGATTCAAATTAATTTTGTCAATGTTTATATAGCATTCACTACTTTAAAGCACCAACGGACCCCATGTCTAGTATGAAGTTCTCCGCATGGTAGAGACTGGTCTCTGGATGTTTTCCAAAGTTTTAGGTGATCCATCCCTATGATGCAAATCATTTCATTTCTGTCCTTCAGATTCTATGCATTCTTTGCTCACCAAGAAACTTTCTGGCTAAGAATTCTGTTTCCTGGTAACTTGATACGGAGAAGAATCCCATGATAAAACTTAAGTATTCTCATCACTAGAAAGAGTATTTCCCAGAACATACCTAAACTATCAATTAGACTCACATAAATTTTGTTATGTGTAACCATCAGCAAATGTCTGATTATCTTTTGGTGTGTGGGAAAGGTGTCAGACCTAATAGCAGAGAGCTTGTCCAGTCTAGCTGCTCATTAGAATCACCTGGATAGATACTTAAACTACCTCAGAATGGTTCTCATTCCTGGCTGCATATTTGAACTAGGAAACTTAAATCTATGTCCAGAATACTGGTGGAGATGTTTAAAGCCACCCACAGGCAGAGAACATGATTCTAATCACTCATAGTTTTCATTCTAGGCATAAATGACAAGGATACTGTAATGCATTGAAGTTGAGATTTGTTTCATTTACATCTAGGATATTGAAGTATTTTATTCTATTTTATCTCCTTTAGACACTATCCTTAGCTTTATATTGTAGAGTAGTTTTAAACTCTTAACTCTTTATTGCTTTAGAATGGGGGATAGCAATTTTTTTCTGTAAAGGGCTAGATGGTAATTGTTTAGATTTTGTGAGTCTTACAGTATCATAACTTCTCAATTTTGTAGTTGTAACACAAAAGTATCCCTAAATAACAGGTAAACAAATGGACCTAACTGCATTCCAATAAACATTTATTTACAAAACAAATGGCAGACAAAATTTGGCCCGTGAGCTATAGTTTGCTATCTCTGCTTTAGAATATTTGAAAAACTATAACAAGCATTCTGATCTTGCATCCACTGATACAAAACTAGTTTTAAAAAAAAGCATGGAAAAATATATGGAAAGTACTCTCAATCTTGCAATCTTATCCTTCAACTATCATCCTATTACTATTTACCAGAGATTCAAAATAAAAAGTCCTAATTATATCTAAACTATATGAACCTATTCAGACTATTTCTGCCACTACTATTGATCACCATCAAAGGTTCACTTACACAGAAAGTACCCACCTGACTGGTCACTCAGCTAAGCCCTGTAAACCTCCAGGGCAAGCTAAAGGGGAGCAGGATGGTCCCATTCTGGCTTCCTCACTGGTACAGGAAGCCATGGGAGTTATTTATTTTGGTAGAGAAAAAAAATCCATCTATGGTGCTTTTGAACATATTCCCCACACAAATAATGAATGAGGTACAAATATACAACCTTGGGTCTAAAAGGTCTGGTTAAATAATTTCTGTTCAACTGAGTAGTTTCAATCAAGGATGCCATGCCAGTCACCCCTTCTGGCTTCCCCTTCACATCTCTAAATACATAATGAATGAAAAGCGAAAGGCTGAGACCCTTTGCCATGTAGATGAGATGTGAACATGACAATCACTCTTGACTTGTGAAGCTGTGGCTGCGACAGAGCTCAATATACATCTGTGCTCTCCCTGAGTCCTACTCTCAGCGATCTCAGGGCCCAGAATCTCTGGGAGTGATCACCTTGGGTCATGTGGGAGCCCACGGAAGCCCACGCTCCCCTGCACAATGAAGACCAGCATCAGGCAGGTGGCCTCCTGGGAAGGAGGATACTGAATTTTCCTATACTAGACCAGCCATTAATCTCCCAGTTTCCCCGGTGTTAAGGAAAATAAAACTAAGGATTGAGTGTGTACTTCTGCACTTGGTGACCATGACACTCCTTGTCTCTGCTCCAGGCTGTACTCACTTGGAAGTGTTTTCAAGTATTCCTTTGACTTCATTCATTTCTTCTTTCCCAAAGTAAACAACGGTGAGATGAATTCTCCCATCTTGTTGGATGCACATTTCCCTGGAAAACAAACCTCATATATGTCAGTATGTTTGGTTCCTGCTTTCACCTTAGTAGGCAAGGCAAAAAGAAAGAACAAAACAAAACAAAACAAAAATGCTTTTGGGAATGGGAGTAAAAGGCAAAAAGGTTTGAAGTACTAAGTAAATTGCCTAGAAAGTGGAGATTGGGATCCAAGATGTTTCTGGTTGATCATCACAATTTCTGGAATTTGTATTTACCTTATCAAGAAAACAATGAAATTTAAATATTCAGATTTGGCAAATGGAAACTCAGATGCAAGACACCACAGGTCCCACCTGCCTCAGGCCTTGCCACAGGCAGTCACATGGTATCAGGGAAAGAGTGCTGGATCCTCACCCCCAGAAGAAGCCTCTGAAATACAGAAGTCATAATTCCACATTCCAGATGAGAAGGCTGAAGTCCAGAGAGGGAAAGACTTCCGTGCTTGTCAGTGGCTCTCTTTGGTGGTGTGGGCCAAACAGTCTCAAGGACTGAATGAGCCAAGGCAGAGTCATGCTTTTGTTTAGGATAATAGAAATCCATGCAAACATCCATCCAGTGATAGGACTGTCAACAAAATGACAAGGCCAAAACATGGTCGATGCATCTCACCCTCCCCAAGCAGATGCCATCGCCTTCACTGCTGGCCCCATTCTCCTCTCTGTGACTGATGAACCCCAGCTCCTGGCACCTGATGTTTGAGGGTCCTGACGAAGCAATCACTTGGCTCAGCCCTCTCAGGGCCAGGCCTGGCTTGACCTATTTCCCCAAAAGCTCATCTGTTGTTTGCTAATGTTTTAGTTTCTCAGAAGTAACACCAGCTAATCTGGTGAGGCCTTCTGCTAAGTTTACTCCATATATGTATGTGTACGTGTGGAAATATATATGAGTGTGCTTGTACATGTATGTGTATATAAGGGTATATATCTGTATTATGTCATGCTTAGGGATATGTGTGTGTCTGTGCATATGCATAATTTTAACAGGAATTTTCCAGAAGCAAGTTAATGAAAAGGTTCTACTGAGATGGTTTTGTGATATTTTGATACTTTGCATGTTCTTCCATTTTGTTCTTGTGTTGACCACTGTCTTTCATCCCCAAAGAACAATCCACATCAAACCTTTCCAGAAATATTAGAGCTCTACTTGCAGAGGCCAAGTTCCTCAAAATGAAGTGGCCACCTTCTGGGGGTTGCTGGGAGAATCCAAAGAAATAGCAGTAATGGTTTCTGGCTTTGGAAAACTTACCTGGGAAATAAAATGAACTCAAAATAATCATATCGCTTGGAACACTGAAAAATGTGTAAGGGGTTCAAGAGGTATGGCAAATCCTACAGGCTGGCACGGCTAGGGCCCTGAAGGATGGGCAGGGTTGAGAAAGGTGGAGAGAAGAAGGAAGAGGATCTAGTAGAAGAACTATCCGGGAAGCCCATACTGACACTGGACGGAAGGCACACAGGGCTCAGTCTGGTGCAGGCATGGTTCTAAGAATTCTGTTTCTTTTTTGTGAACAAAAGTAGAAGCAGCTTTGAGAATGCAGAGTGTTGGTGGAGCAGTCAGTAGAAAGCCAGGCACTGGCAGCAAAAGCTGAAGTGCGATGATGTGCTTCATAACCAAGAGCTCCTCCACAGACACAGTCCCGGCAAACAATCTCCACCTACCATCAACAGAAGTCTACACATGAAAGACCTCTTTGGCACATCTCCAGGTATAGCTTTACTTTCCCCTGCCAAGCCAGAAGAAAAACACATTGGGCTAGGCACCGGGGAAACTGTACTTTAAAACTGTGTGTGCAACTGGAATAAAAAAGCCATCGTGCATCAGGAGAGGCTCACCTGCTGAACTTAGTTGAAAAAAGCCCTTTCATTTTTCCAATAACATTTTTACTGTCTCCCTCTATGGTATTTTAACACCCATTCCCAGCAATTCCTGATTTTAAGAAATAAAAGAGAATCCCAGCACTCTGGGAAGTTGAGGCAGGAGGACTGCAAGTTCAAGTCTAGCCTGGGCAACTTAGTGACTTAGCAAGACCCTGTCTAAAAATAAATTTAAAAATAAGTAAAAAGGGCTAGGAATGCAGTTCAGTATGAAGCCTCTAGGTTTGATCCCCAATATCACAGATACACAATTTTATTTTTCTTTTCTAAAGAAAAATAAGAAAAATTAGAGATGTGCCGGACCTTTCACTCTCATGATCAGGTGAGACAGTAGCTCAAAAAGGGAAAGTAGACCAGGTATTCATGTATTACTTCATTCATTCATTCATTCAACAAACCTTTGTTGACAACATACCATGTATGTGACAGGTACTTTACCAGGGGATCTTAAGAACTGAATGAGACAGATACGTCTGCCCTTGGGGAGTTCTATGTCTACCCTTCAAGACTAAGGCTATCCACAATGAAATGAGCAAATGTCTTGTGAGAGTAGCACCCCAGCAGTGTGTAGACACAGTCATTGAGTCTGAATGCTCTCTATATTTCTAAAATCCATCTTCACTCAACCCCATCCCCTGGGAGGCCATGTGTGAGAAAGTACGGATATGGGTGACGGTGTACATGAGTATGTCTTTGCTTTGGTGATAAAAGGTTAAAAAATAAAGTCACAGGGACGAGACAAGAGGAAAATCTTACAGCTTTGTGCCATTGATTATTTGTACCTGGACACTGACATCCAGATCCCTGGAGGTGACTTCTGTGCCTCTATGGGCACAGAGACACTGTTGCAGTGCTATAAATGAAACCTCTGTAACCACCTCAGGGAGTCCGGCCTCTAGCACCAAAGCCCTGGGTTCCATTCCCCATACTGCAAACAAAACAACCCCTCCACCTCCACCAAAAAACAAACAAACAAAAGAGCAGTCCCGGCCTTTCTTTGCTCTCTGGCTTTGTTTCTCACCATGTGATTTTTCTCTTTCCTACTTGCTCCCATTTTGATGCCATTCATCCTCTGTCCTAACCAGAGCTCAACCAATGCTGGTGCCATGCCCTTGAATAAATCTCAAGTCTTTACATGTACTCAGTCTTAGGAATTTTATTGTAGTGATGGAAATCAGACTGATACATGCAATTTCAACAATAAACACCGAGTGAGCACAAGGGCTGTACAATGCACTATTCTCACTGGAGTACAAATTACAAAGGATCACCACATATAGTCCCCACTGGGGGACAATCAGCCAGTTTTGCCTGGGGATCTCAGGTTTTAATACTGAAGAGCCCACACACTAAGAAATCCCTACATCCCAGGCAAAATGGGACAACTGGTCACCCTACTTACCTCTGTAACTTTTTAGTTTTCAGAGGAATGAACAACTGAAGAGTTACAATTAATCTGGAATGAAATAACTTCTGTAACAGAGGGATAAAAAACCAAGAGGACACAGAGGAGAATGTGGTTAATTTCTGATGAGTGATGGGGAAAGGGGTATCAGGAGGAGGGAGCATCTCAGCTGAGCCCTGACAGGTGAGTAGGCTCCATTCAAGTTGGGAGGAGCAGAGAAAGGCTTTCACAGCTGAGTAATTGCATAGCTGGCAAGAAAGTCATGTCTCTATTCATTCCCAAGTCAATGTTTACTCAGATGTACCAGGTAGGAGAAGAAAATCTATTTGGACCTTAAGAAGTGTCCCATGCAAACAAAATGATACATACTACTAACCCATTAGTTCTCAGACTCTACCTATGTTGCTATGATATCAAGAAGAAAATTTCTCAGCCACAGAGAGACCATAAATAAGGAAAAGGTATATCTCTGGACACAGAGAGACTGGAAATAAGGAATAGGTATATTCCTGGAGAGGGGACAGGCGGTTAGTGAGTGCCTTCAGAAATGTTTTATTTCTTCCTTTTATTTCATAGGTCCTCTCTTCTCCCACCATGTCATGATCAATTAAAAGATCATTCTCCAAGTCCATTATCTATGTTATCACTTTTAAAAAATAAGAGTGAATTCTGACTCTCAAAAATCAAAGCAATTGGGACCTACTTTCTGCGTTGCCCATTTCAGAACAAAAATCAGATCATTTTCCAAGTAGCCAAGTTGTCTTAGATTCACGTTTCTATGCAACCTGTGACTCAAATCAACATCCATTTGTACAACTGATCTTAACCAAAAGGCCAAGAAAAGATCAAGATCCATTTCTGTTAAGCTCCCAAAGAGGAATCTTTACCCAAGTAAGGTATATGACACAGGTTAATGTATCTCAAATGTATTAATCATAACACTTTCTTTGGGCAACACTTGTGTATGATGGAGAGGCACAGGGGCTTAAGTAAGGTGGAGGATTATACCACACGAAACACAATACTACTATATTTCTTTTGAGAAACACAAAACCAGGAATTCATTGCTATCACAGTCCAACACTTGATGGTCTGAGGCCTTTCTGTTACCTACACTAGCCTAGCCAAAGGATATTCTAAAATCATAGCTTCATATTTATTTCCAGAAATTTCTAGAACCTGTTAAAGGTTCTATGATGACAAAGAGAGGACTGCTAAAGAAAAGTCATATAAAAATTTCTCTGATGCTTCATTAAAGTATCATAAATGCCTTAAGAGAGATGAGAGTAGAGGCAGAAGGAAAAAAGAAAGGAGTACAGTAAACCAAAAATAACGTACCCGGTCTGAGGAGGAACCCAGCAACATAAAAAATGGTTTTCAGTTCAGTTGGAAGAAGTCACAATAAAAAGCAAGCAAATTTGGAATGAATAGAGAAAAGTTTAAGGAAATCATGAGAAATATTTCCCACAGTTTTTTTTCCTGAGAACTCAGAGATAAAGACCCAAAGAAAACCTATAGCTTCATTATTATGAGCTTCTTCCTGGTTTAAAAAAAACACAATGATATAACAGACGAGCCTACAATCTATAACATGGAAGCTGAGAGAAACTCAACAGCCAGGAATAAAGGAAAGGATAGTTTCAAAGTCAAAACAAGGTGTTTCTTTTAAAACAAAGAAGAGCAGGTGGGTTGCAGTAGCCACTACACTACTGGGA